ACTGTTTGCCCCCTCTGTATCTTATTTGGTTAGGTGTCTATTAAGGTCCTTGGTCCATTTTTTAACCAGTTTTTTATTTTCTTATTGAATTTTAAATGTTTTTGTGTATAGGGCAAAACAAAAGTAGGTTTGCAGTTGTGACTATATAAAATACAGTTTATTCTTGTATTATTAATTAATTATTGTATTATTTTCTATACAAGCAACCTACCTTCCCCCAACCCTGTATTTTGAATAACTATCCTTTATCCAGATATATTCTTTTGCAAGTATTTTCTCTTAGTCTGTGGCTTTGCTTGTAATTCTTTTGATGTTGTTTTTCACAGAACAGAAGTTATTTTAATGAGGTTCAATTTATCAACTATTTTTTTCATAGATCGTGACTTTGGTGTTGTATTTACAGAATCATCACCATACCCAAGGTCTTCCTGTGTTATCTTCTATGAGTTTTATAGTTTTTCATTTTATATTTATGTTTATGATCCATTTTGATTTAACTTCTTGTGAAGGGTATAAGGTCTGTGTCTAGATTTATTTTTTTTGCATGTGGATGACTAGTTGTCCCATGGCCAGTTTTCGAAGAGACTATTTTTGCTACATTGTATTGCCTTTGTGGCTTTGTCAAAGATGAGGTGATCGTATTTATGGGGGATTTTTTTTAATTTAAAGAAACTATTTTTAACCTTATATATCACTTTGTGAAATCATTCTTCAGTCAAATCTCATGGCCTGCCATTTGGAAATAAGTAGTTGTCTACATTTCGAACCAGAAAAATCCCTCTCAAAAGATATGTAAAGGTAAAGCTGAAGCTAAACTGCAGTAGGCAAATTTATTTAAACTTCATGTAAGGTTACACACTCAATTAAGCTACTTCCAGAGGAAAGTGAATATTAGGCACATCTTGATTTCATTAGAGTAGTCCTGATTTCCTTTAGGCTATGAATATGAAAATTAGGGATTATTTTCCCAAGTGACTGAAATCTGCCAAGTAAATCACTGGAAACTTAAAAAATGCTAAGGAACTACCTCACAGCAAGAAGGTTTGCAATTCTCAGTGGCATAATGGAGTGGAATGAGGCTCATTTTTCAGTAATTATAGAATATAAAAAGCAGCACCAGGGTCATCAGTGACCTTAATTGAAATCTTTTATGAACTGTTTTTTAGGGTTTTTCCTTTATAACTTCTATATTTGGGATCTGAATCCTATTCTATAAAAAGAAACTTTCATGAGAAACTATATGAATCTGCTTTTGGACCATATTCCCTAATGGCCTAAGAAGAAACAAATTCTCTTAAAAGATATAATAAGAGCTAAGATATTTATTCTTACAACATGCCATTGAAGAAAATTTTTGAAACTCTATCTTTGCTGTTTATCATGTTTCACTATAACATTGATTATTATTCTTAACATTTAGTAAGAATAATATTCATTATTTAAATAGAAATCTTATCTCAGATTGTACAGCCCAGTGCATTCCTGTTAGATAATATATAAAATATTACAGGATCAATTTGTTACTTTTTAAACATATATGAATCCTCTCATTCTCATTCCACAGACATCTATATGCTTTAAAGCTGGTAAAATCATCTATAATTAACATGGTGGAATGCTGGACTAGAGTTAGGCTAATTACAATATCTTCAGAATCTCATGAAAAGATTTAGAAAACACTGCTATGTGAAGATTGTTTTTATTCACTCCCTCAGAATCAGAATATTATGATCAATTTGCATAGTACTAGATGCCAAAGCCATGTGGAACTTTATATACCTCAGTCAACAGAATATCTTAGTTTTCTTTTTAGTTTATAATTTTAATTTTATTAAATACTGTGTATTACATTGAGCATTTTGACTGTAGATTTTATTGTTTATGCTGGATTTTTCATCTAGAGAAGTGGGAACCAAGCAAATGTCAAGATAATTTTAAAAAATTTTATTACAGTATAGCTGAAATACAATATTATATTTGTTTCATGCACACAACATAGTGATTCAATACTTAATATATATCTTGTGATGTGACTACCACACTAAGGCTAGTAACTGCCACTGTGCAGATTTTTTACGTTATTACTGACTATATGCCCCCGCCCCTTTTCACCCATCCCTCTTACTCACTGCCCTCTGGCAACCATCAATTTGTTCTCTGTTTTCATGAGTTTGTTTTCGGTTTGTTTGTTCACTCGTTTTGTTTTGTTTTAAGACTCTACATATAAATGGTATCATATAGTATTTGTCTTTTTTTTTGGTCTGACTTCACTTAGCATAATACCCTCTAAGAATATTTTTAATTAAATCTCCTCATCTAAAAGCAAATGAATAAAACTTTTCCTTTGTTATCTGATTATTTCTTAATTCTTTATTTCACCTGTAGGAACTGAGTTTGCTATAGTGAAATAAATAAATTATTGTATTCTAATTATTTTTATTATTTTTCTTCTCCCAATAAAAATGTGATGTTTTTGAGAGTAGGAATTATGTATTTTTTTATTTTTAACTTATTCTTCTTAATTACTAGCAGAATAGTTAGCACATAATAGGCCTGCACAAATATTTGATAAATGAATAAAGTCAAGCTCCAGCTCCAGAAAAAAAGTTATTAAAGAATTAAATATCTCTGATTCTTACCCTGATTCTTACCTGATTCTTACCATCCCTACTAGGTTGGAAATTATAGAGGTATTTTAATAGCAATTATGCTGCCACACTCTGTGTACATAGAAATTTAATATCACAGTTCTTCTTCCATTGCAACAAAACTTCTAGAGGCACCCAGTTGAGAAGACATTAAGTTAAATAACTATTGATACATATTAATGATTCCCCCATCAAACCAATGTGGTCACCATTTCTCCCTAAGTGTAGATCTATATTTCTGCCTGATGAAGGAAAATCTAATACATGTAGATTACATTTATTGAGCACTTACTATATGATAGATACATTATTCTAATTTAACCCTCCCAGCCAATTGATTGAATAAATACTACTATTCAAGTTTTTCAGGATATAATATTGAGATTTAGAATAAAGTGTCTTGACCAATTGTATAACTAATACATAACAGAGCTATAATTTGTTCTTAGGTTGTCTTTAAAATCTAAACTCTGTCCACTGCACCAGACAGCCAAATATTAAATTAGATGTCTGGTGCCATCATACTTGTCTTTGAAACCATCACTGATTTCATTAGAGAGTTAATATATCACTAGATATACTATTGTTCAAAATAAATATGATTGTAAATGTAAGAAACTCAAGAAACATTGGTTCTTTAATATAAATATTTCTAAAGATTCTTTTATTGCTGCAAAACATTTACTTTCTGCTGCATAGCCTGATTAAACAAAATATCAATTTTATATAAAACTTATGAAAGTGCTCAAGTCAGTCAAACTCTGGTAATTTTTGAATTTGAAAGCAGTTTCTTTAAAAACATTCTTTGGCTTGCTTTTTGTTTGTACAACTGTTATATAGCTTAAGTTATGACACAAAAAAGATTCCATTAAGCTTCAACCTCTATTGGCACACCTACACTCATATACACACTTGCCCAGGGTTCCTTTATTAATTCACACTGCATTTGGGCTCATAATATCTAGGCTTATGAACAGTATATAGGAAGTTCTTACAGTTCCTGAAATCTTCGAAAACCATTTCTGTTTTTTAATTAACAAAAAATTTTCTGTTACGATTTTTAAAGTATTATAAATTTTTTAGTCTTGATCTGCCTTATGAAATTAGAAGTCAGGCCAATTGGAAATAACGGTTATGTTAAACAATGCTTTTAATATCAAATCATGCAAATATCAATCAACATGTCAATTTCCCTAGTAAAGTTACATGATTTTCACATTATCATTTGATTGAGTCAACCAAGGGGAAAATATAATTTAAATAGAAAATTAGCTTCTCCATCAAGTTCACTTAAAAAATACTAAAGGAATTTTTGTTTTCACATTTCCACTGGAAATGAAACACTATGCTCTTCTCTGGATAATATTAGTTAAAAAAAAGAAGAAGAAGTTCCATTGTGTTCCCATTGACCAAAGTGGGTGACAAACCAAATTGTTGAAGTCAATATGTAGGCCAAATATTCTTGCATACCAATGCTGCTATAAATTTAATAATGTTTTAATGTAGATGTTTTTAATTTTTAAAGGAACAGCCCAAATGCAGAGGAAATAACCTAATTATTTCAATCAGTTTTATTAAGAACAAAATCATAAGTTATTTGAATAATCACTTGTACTTTATGGTAACAAGAGACCTACGTTAACTCACCTAGGCTCCGTTCTTTTCTCTAGATGTTTTTGCACCAATAGAACTGTCACTCATATTATTCAGCCTTCTCTATGAGCACAGATATGTTTCATGAATGTCGACCCCATGTCTTTTTCAGAGATTCTAAACAGACTGGCAATTCTAGAAATAACAGCTTTCTGCCCTTTCTCAGTAATTCTCCCTTCTGAGTGTAGAGGAACTAATTTCAGAAAGACAAACATAAACTCCCTTACCTGTGTTTCCTTTTTCTTTTTAAAGACCGAAAATAAACCACTTTACAATTTCATGTCTTTCACTGTATTGTAATAGTTGATGTAATTAAGGATATCCTTTGGGTGAAAAGATTCAGAAATATCAAAAGGAAAGAAAGTTCATAGTTTTTAAGAGAAACAGTTGTGTTTAGTTTTATTCAGGAGTTATTTATTACACCTAAAACTCATGATTTTTGTAGTGAGTTTCATTTTTAAATAAATGTGTTGCTTATTTTACATGTTCTATTGTTCTAGGTATACTTTTAATGTTATGTGTCATTAAGCAACCATAGATGACACAAATATAGTAAGATAAGTAATGTAATGAGATTAAAGTATTTAAATAAAAACTTTAAAACTATTTTATTTCTATGTATCAGCTTTTTTAGTATATGTAAAATGCAGATTTGTTAAGATTAACGTCTATTATTAAAAATTACGTTTATTTTTTCAGGCTCAAGAAATTAGTAGAAACAATGAGCAAGAATATGACTATGAAGAGGACATTACTTCACTTCCTGAATATCTTCCCAGTAAGTGTCCCTATGTTATATATAATGCATATATATAATGTTTGTACTACATAATGTAACTGAAAAGCAAGACTGAAGAGAGCATGGAAAAGTAATTAATTGAATGCCTTTTAATTTATAATATGGCAGAAATAACACTAAATTATCTTGCTAATTTAAATACTCCTTAATGTTTAATAATCAAACACCTGTTTTTCCTATTCCAAACAAAATACATAAATCAGATTGATGTAAATATTCTGACTATTTAACAACTATATATTTTCAGTTTGTTTCTTTTTCTTTTTAAACAAAGTCACATTCTTTTCAGACCTTACTTTTCTCAGCTAGGAAATGAGAAGATTAGACAAAGATACTCTCTAAGGTCCTCACTGGCTGCAATAGGATGTAATCCTATAGTCTAATGTCTGAAGACTAATTCCGTCTTTGTAGATACATGTCAGTGTGCCCATTATGTCAGATTCCAGTGGTGCACAATAGCTTGTTTCATCAGCATGTCTGATATGCATCACTTACCTAACATTTCCACACCTGGAAACCCTGATCCTGCCACTCCCAACCTGCTCCTCCTGCTGACTTCCCCATTTAAGCAAGTGAAGATTCTGTCCTTAGTGAATTCAGTCCAAAAATCCTGGTCACCCATGTTTCACTTTGTCTCTTATGCCAAATTTGACCTGTCAGAGCTCTGTTGGCTCTGCCTTCAAAAACAGCCAGCGTCCTGTCCTTCCTCCACCTTTTGTTTTGATTGCCCCCAGTCCACTCTGTCATCAGCTCACCCTGGATTATTGTGGTAGCACAGTGACTCATAACGGAGGGCTATTTTCTGCCCCCAAGAGGGGATATCAACGAACGGAGTTTTGGGGTTTTTTTTTTCAATTATAGTTTACATTCAATGTTAGTGTATATTTGTTTCAGGTGTACAACCTAGTGGTTAGCCAATCATATGCTTTACGAAGTGCTCTCCCCTGATATTTTCAGTACCACCTGGCACCATAAACATACTTGTTACAATGTTACTGATAATATTCTCTGTGCTGTACTTTACATCCCCCTGCCTATTTTGTAACTACAAATTCGGACTTTTTAATCCCTTCCCTTCTTTCACAGAACCCCCAGAACCTCTCCCCTCTGGCAACCATTCATTTGCTCTCTGTGTCTATGAGTCTATTTCAATTTTGTTTGTTTCTTTCTTTTATTCTTTAATTTCCACATAAACATGAAATCAAATGGTATTTTTCTTTCTCTTACTAACTTATTGAACAGAACATTTTTTATTGCCATGACTTGAGAAGGGAGGTTTGCATCTGGCCTTCTTAGAGCAGAGACAGCAGAAATGCTGCTAAATATCCTACAGGACATGTCCCCACACAATGCAGGAGTATCCAGTCCAAAATGTCAATAGCACTGATTTTCAGAAACTCCATCAATAGCAGCTTCCACATTTGCCACCCCTAGTACACTAGGGTTCATGAAGGAACTCATCACTCTTCTGCTCCAAATCCTCCAATACCTCCACATCATAGTTACAATCTTTATCATCGCTGATGAGGCCCTAGGTCATCACCCCATCTCGGACCACTCGCCTGCTTGTTCCTGGCCACAATGACATCTCACAGATCACGTATGCTTTTGCCTCAGGTCATGTGCACTTTTAACAGGGCACAGCTGAAACTCAGCTATGCATTGTTGATCACAGTTTTTTTCAAATGATAGGCTAACCTGCATATCAAATTTTTTAAACACAATGCCTTAACATGCTTTATTAAAATCACTAAACGCCTTCAAACATTATTGCAGAACACAAAATAATGCTAAATATTAGAGTAATGATTAAAATGTGAAGTTTTAATGTTATACATTTTATTATTTTTAATGCTAATAAGTGATGATAAAGGCCATCATTAATACCGACCATGTATTCAAAATGACATGTAATCCTCAGAAATACTGTCTATAGTAAGAAACCACTATTTCAGTTATTTGTACAGAAGTCTCATTGCTATAGACAGTTTGGACCTGGAACTGTCTCATATGTGAAACTCGGTGTGATCAGACTCAGGCCTCAGCCTCTTTCACGGAAGAAGGGGTGAAGCATAGGACGCCCACCCTAAGTCAGCAGATTCCCATTGGTTCCACCATTGCTATGAAGCTTCCTCAATCCCTCTGACCCACTACCTGATTCTCCAGGGCTCGATTGCAGGTTTGGGCATATTTGCCAAGGACAAAGGAGGCTGTTGTTTAACCAGTGTATACATAAAACATAAACACTGAATGCCTCCACATAAGGTTGGTTACAAGTAATTTCCTATAATTTCCTATAATGTAAATGTAATTCTAAGTTGGTGTTCGACTTGCCGAGAGAGACATAGTAAAGCCCCTTTGCTAGCCCTGAGCAAAACTTCTTTTCAGTTATTCCATCATCTGTTCACTCCATGAACATTTCCAGAGACTACTTTCTTTCAGGCTCAGTGTTTGGTGTTAGAAGTAGAAAGTTATGTTCCATGCAGAGATCTGTGCGGCAATGAAAGGCTGTCTGCTCGGCCAGAGCTGGTAACTAAAGAACCTTGGTTTGCACCTCTAGGACTGGCAGCTATCCCTTTCTTCTCTCTCACATGGAAGAAGAGCAAAATAAAGCAATAAAATTCCATGTAGAAATTTGGGGTACCGTCACTGGCATGATTTTTCTGCATTACTAATTCATTTTCCCACAGCTGAAAATTTCCTGCAATGTAACCCTTCATTTTTTAAAAAATTATTTTTTCTACATGCCACTCTGTCTTCTGTAGCTATATCTTAGTCTAAAAATAGTTTAAAATGATTATTGTCTTTTCTTTTGCACTGATAATGACAATCCACATATTCCCTGCAATACAGCGATTCAAAAGTTTGTTTTAAAGTTTATGAAAGCTTGATTTAGAGCAGAATTTTTATAAAGAAAATATAAATAAAAATGTTTAAGATTTAAAGATTGCATTATAATATATAATATAATGTATTGCATTACAATATCTATTTTTCTTCCTGAGTGGTTAGAGAGGATTTAATGTGCAGTATAAAAACAAATGTTGGCATCATGATTCTTAGATGGAGGGCATTTGGGTCATTTGGTTAAGTTTCAAGATACAATACATTTTACAGGTGAGAGAACTGAGCCTTAGAAAGATTTACCTACTATTCATGATTGGGATGCCTTTTTCATTAAAAAAAAAAAATTAACACTTTTCCCAAGTAATATTTTCAAGAATTAAAGTATTATCTTTTGATAACTACATATTAAAAAAATGACTAAATAAGAATTACAGATTTATTTTATTACATTATTCACAAGGAATTGAAGATTTACTTTTCCTTGTCTTTACCTTTTCCATCACTTATTACTTATATCAGTTATACTGTTTTCTAATTAAATGCAATATTTCTGTGAATCTGCTTGAATAGTAACTCCACAGAATCAGGATATTATAAGTATGAGTTTACCTCATACTAAGGTAGCAAGATATAATGGAGCTTTAACTGTTTATTCAATAAATATTTTAAAAGCCCAAGAATGACTGAGTATTCACCAAAATTTTGCATTTGTCAGCTTTCCAGTATATCACATCATAAAAATTTTATTAGCAGCACTACCACTTTGGTATGAAATTACAAAATATGACATGCCTCCAGATGGTGTGTTTAAATGAAATCATACAATCTTCCTCATAAACAGCCATACAGAACCCAGCATTTCATCATGAAAGTGGGGAGACATACAGGCCGAGTGCTGAAGGAACTGAGGTGAATGAAACAGCAAAGGAAGAAAAGGAGAATGAATCAAGCACAGAAGCCGACTATATCCTACCAGAGGCTGATGATGAGAGTTCTGAGGACCAGTATGATGACTTGTATATGTTCATTCCTGGAGACAGCCCAGAAATTAATTCACAAGAGCCACTTGGGGACAATAGACCACCTCTCCCCCCGCCACGACCTGTAGTTGCTGCCCTCCAACTGGATAAACCTCACCTCACATTACAAGGTAAATTTAAGGTTAAAATAACAACAATAAAAAAAAACCATTTATAGACTTATGTAGCAAACAGTGCAGTGGCAAACCTATACAGAGTAGATCAGCTTCTAAAACTAAGAGCAACTGTGTTCCGTTCTTTAATAACTAGGGCCTGGAAAATTGGGCAGCAGATACTTGCCACTAACTATTCTTTCCTCCCTCCCTTCCTCCCTCTCTTTCCTTCTTTCCTTCCTTCCTTCCTTCCTTCCTTCCTTCCTTCCTTCCTTCCTTCCTTCCTTCCTTCCTTCCTTCCTCCTTCCTTCTTTCCTTCCTTCTGGAACACAGTCTCGTTGCAAAAGTTTTAAGTAAAAAAATAAAATGAAATAAAACCAGGAATCAGTCTGTAAATATTTCCCCTGAAAAAAACCTCAAGTGACATGGAAAGGTAAATAACAACTTTGCTTCTAAAAAATATTCTTAGTCTTCCAGCAAAAGGGAAAGGCTAATGCTGTACAGGTTTGAAAATGACCTTGGGCATTTCATTCATTTGGTAGCTTCAAGGGAAGCAAGTGGCAAAGGATTTATCACACACTGCATTGCGACCAAAGTCTAAGAACACTCTGTACATATATTGCTTAAGTGGAAGGACAGTAAAATGACTGTGACCATGTTTGCTCCAAATGCAGGATTATGGTGTGTAATGGGGGAGCGGAAGGGGGAGCATCAAGAAGAATTTCCATATTGGCTCTATAAGCCCAGAGTGTGCAACAAGCTAACAAACTTCCGGCTTCACATTCAAATTAGTGACTGTAAGAAGGTCACTAATTTTCACCTGCTTTGTTGATCACTATTTTATATTTACTTTCCAAATTAAGAAAACATTCTTACAAGTAAAATTTTAAAAGGGAGTTAAAAGAAGTCTGTTATCAAAACCCCATTTGTCACAATACTTTAGTTGTTGAGTCCTAGAAGGTTATAAAGTATATAAAAGCTGTTTCAAAAAGTAAATTTGAAGCCATGAAATTTAACATTTGTGTCCTTGGAGATCCTATCTCTATGAAAGTTCAAGGTGATCCACATAAACCTGTACTAAAGGTTATGCACTGTACTTAGAGATAGAAAATACTGTGTAATGTAAAGTATGGAAATCCTCAAGGGCAGTCCTCTGGTCCATTCACTCACTCAACAAATATGTTTTGATTGCTTACTATGTGTCAAGCTCATATAGGCCATTAAGATAGATCCATAAAGTAGGAGTGTCAATCTTGAGGGTGGAGGAAGAAACATAGATTAGTAGTACACTGACAACAAAATTCTCGTATATATTTATCATTTTAACAGATGTCAAAAATTTCATACAATTATTAAAATTAATTGTTAGGAGGCAAAATTGTCTTGTATCAGCTTAAATCTTTTAAAGAAGCTAATATTAAATTATATTTTTTCCTAATGGAAATTTCTATATATGGTAAGTTGGTTAGGAGGTCTAAAACTACTTTACCCAGAGTTTTCATCAGATATCTAAGACCGGAAATGTAATTTTGGTTAATATATTTTCTGTAAAATATTATACATAAAAAGCAAAATAAAACCAAAAACTCACTCCTTTTACTTCAAAACTCTGTGTTTACATTTCATATGTAGTGTTACTTTTAACCTCATCTTTTCATAGGGCAGATATTGGCAGTAAATGGAAAATAAAATGCTAATATTTGTTTTTAATACTTTAATTAAAGTCTTTCAGAGTAAGACTGGAAGCTTCCACCTTCTTTTTTTTTTTTTTTTTTTTTGCCAGAGATTTTATGGGTTCTTTGACTTTTACTAGCGATAGCTTCAGGAATTGTCCTTTAAGAGTAGTTTCCTTATGTCCTCAGGTTATTAAGAAAAAAGACCTCCTCATGGAGGCCCTAAGCATCAAATTCCCTGTGATGGATTTATGGACATATTCACTGTAGAAAACATTAATGTAGAACTCTATAGAACACTTTTCAGTTTATAAAGAAAACATTGTCTCTTTTTATCTTTATAACAAACTTGTAAGGCAGCCATCATTTAGGATCTCTTATTTTTTATTTTTTATTTATTGATTTTAGAGAGAGACAGAAACATCGATTTGTTGTTCCACTTATTTATGCATTCATTGGTTGTCCTGACCAAAGATCGAACCCATAGTCCTGGCGTATCAATATGACACTCTAAGCAAATAAGATGCCCAGCCAGGGCACGATCCCTTTTTGACTCAGATCCAAGACCATAAAGCCTATAATTAGAATGTGTCAAATACTTCTTTGAACAGGTTCCTGGGATTTTGAAGATTCTTTTCTTTGTTACACATTCTTGTACCAATTATTTCAAAAATTATAATTATAGAAGTGATTTATTTTAATGATTATTTACTAATGTACAACTGCATTAAGAAAGTACTGGTCCCACTTTGACATAAAAAGTATAGCCTGATACACTGGGAAATAAAAAATAAAATGTATTATTTCTAGTGCAAGCTTAACTTTAGAAAGAGTTGGGAAGGGAAGTGGGTGGAGAAACAAAGATAACAACTCAGGAAATCGGATCGTAAAAGTAAGATAGTTGACACATTCTACTAAAAATAAGACGCTGTATAAAAGTGTTTCCCACACACTTAATCTGGTTTCATCTGGGGTGCTGTCAGTGCTAGAAGTCACGAAGTCAGAATCTCAATGCCATATTATTCTTAGGGGAAAAGGCAAGTCATGGTGATTTTAAAGTTAGTTATATGTAGGCCTGTATACATTTTTGGTTAAACTAACTGAACCAAGCAAATAAAGACTGTTGGAAGATGATCTTGGTCTCTTCTCCTATGTCTACCCCTCAAAATTGCTGAAACTTCTTATAATAATATTCTTTTATTCTTCTCTGCAACTTGTCTTTTACCTCAGCTCCTAAGTTTTTCCACTAAAATATCCATAAGTGAGCTAAATTTTTTTTTGATCACAGTCTCACCCAAGAGAAAGAAGAATCATTCTCCTTTAGTTCACATGCCTGGATCTCCAAGAATAACATAGAAAAACAACAATTTTTCTGTCAGGAACTAAAATCTTTTCCATTTTATTGCTTTCATTAATACTTTAAGTAGAACATTTGTCAAGGGGGAACTTTTTAAAAAAATTCTCATTGGCCTAGCAGAAAGCCATCAAAATTATTTTCAACTTATTCATTAGCCAGAGTATATGATATCTTTATCTGCTAAGTAACTGCCATTGAACACTAAAATATTTTAATGCATTTTTATAAAAATATGTAGATGTAGCTAAGTATGAAAACCACCAGACAGTTTATTCTTTTCATATGAATTAATGTTCAAACTATTGATTATCCATACCATCTTTTAGGTCATGAACTTTACTTTTCAGTGTTCTTTACCTAAGAATGAGGCTCACATTGGCTTGTAAAAAGCAAAAGTTTGAAGGTCAATTTATCATTGTCAGAGTTAGGCTTGCCATAAGAAACCAAGAAACAGTGCCGTTAGCTATTCCACCCTGTCATTTTCAGAGAAATTGAATTTTAGGCAGAATACCCAGTGCAAACCCTATGAAAGGTAAAGTGACTTTAAATGAGAAAATAATCTAAAAGTATTATATTTGAAAAATACAAAATTTCAAAGCTTTTGGAATTTGAGGCTTAATTTTATAACTCGATTTCCTGATATTAAATTATTCATAAACTATATGGAAACCATTTATATGTTTATTTATATTTTGAAAGAATCCATGTTTTAAACAGTTTTTTTCTCAACACAGTTAACAAACTTTGCTAGGAAAGATATGTTGAAGAATATGTTGGTGAATTCCATGGTTCATTTTTCTTTTTTTGAAATTTATAGTATAATATGTAAATTATTATAGGGGAAATTCAGGCAAGTGATAGATGAACATCAAAAATATTGTATATAATTGAAGAGTAACCACCACCTAAATGTTTCATAAAGGGAAAATGTTGGAAGGCCAAATGGAAAGAAGTCAAAATTGGTGTGATCCCAGTGCAAGACAGGAAACAGGAGGTGAACCTGAAAGAGAGACAGAAAAGACAGAAGATAAAAAGAAGCAGCAGGAGGAAGAGGAAGACCCATACACTTTTGCTGAGATCGATGACAGTGAATATGACATGATACTGGCCAATCTGAGTACAAAGAAAAAAGTTGGAGGTCGGTCTTTTATTATAAACAGACCTCCTGCCCCCACACCTCGACCAATAAGTGTCCCTCCAAAAGAAGAAACCACACCGTACATAGCTCAAGGTAATGTATTTTGTTGTTGTTTGTGTGTGTTGGGGGATGGAATTGTCCTCTTTTTTGGTGGGATCTAAACCCCAAAGATGAAGAATATCTTTTCATGGCACAGGTGAGTTGTATTGGCCTATTGTAAAATTTAGAAATGCAGGGAAAAAAGAAAATAAGAATTAATGAGTAGGGATCTGGTTTCTAATTCTTTATTAAGAAGGATAATTTTGACAAACCACCCAGAGAACATGAAGCCATATCATGTGTTAAGAAATTCTGTTTGACATTTTCATAATTCTCTAAGAGGGAAGCTCAACTCCTATGAATAGTGTAAGAAAAGAAGGTAGGTCCTGTATTTTTTTGGCCCCTAACTTTACTTTTTGCTCCTAATTTCATTTAAGATAACTTTAAAAACTAAACAGTTTGAATACTTGAATCTCAGATATGCAACCACAATTCCTCTGATAATTGCACCTCACCCTAACGATTAAAATTCACTTGATCTGTCACAGAATTTCTACTTCATTATAGATATCAACTCTTCTTTCTCATTCACTACTCAGTTGGATCTAAATAAAAAACTAACAAATCCCTAGAGCTATTGTTCCCCCTGTATTCAGCCCAGTGTATAACACCTGCCACACACTGGGTCTCATCTGATGGCCAGAAACATTTTTGTTCATTTTCTTTGAAGAAGAAAACTTCCATCATGAATCATTGCCTAATTTCATTGGAGAAGGAATTGGAGGCTATAACTCTTTAAGACTTTCAGTCTTAAAGTCCACATATAGGAGAATTGAGATGGTGTTCCTCCTCATGCATGTATTTATTAGTTACATGAAATTTTATTGAATAGCAAATAATGAAGTCTTTCTGCATTTTATGTACATTCCCTACATGACACTGGTACAATTTGTCATATATACACACATAAGGACTTGAAAGAATCTTAGAAATCTTGAGTTTCTAAGAAATTTTAAAGGCTATTTATTGCACCTACTTATAAGCCTGACACCCTTCAAAATTTTTAAATATTCTTTCTAATTCTAAAACACAATCTACTTTTTTCTCACATTTGTGTTATATGCAGAGAGGAACTAGTATTATAATGTATTATTATTATTATTATTATTATTATTATTTTTGCATTTAAATATATAAAAGCTGGTAGGTTATCTGCCCCACATCCCAAATCAATAGCAAAAACTGAATTGTAAGTGAGGTCACCAAAGTCCCTTTACATTATTTCTTCCTTTTCTCTTTCACTGGGATATATCCACTTGCCTCTTCTTTTAAGCTATTGATTGTTTTTTATTCTGTTCCTGCACTAGAAAAACTGCTTCATCAGCTAATTATTTCTTGACGTTTTTTGCATTTCACAGTGTAAAATTCATCACATTTCCTTTTATTTCTAGCTCATACAAATATATTAAATAAAATTGCCACCATTTTCCAGAAAGCCATTCATTCAATTAGAACATTAAATTGCCCCACTTCTTGCCAGAACACAGAAGTGGTAGCAGAAATGTTGGCACATCCAAGGTGTGTTAATGTAGCCAAAGAGAAGGACGTCGAGTAGGCGATGGAAAAAGAATGCAGGATGCAAAATCCCAACCTACTGTTTCAGAAGCTCAAGAAAGTACTGGCAGAGACTAGGCAAACAAACCAGAGAAAGAGAGAGGAAAATCATGTTGGCTTTTGTGAAATAATTGAAAACATGTAAATTAGTGTCCACTCCAGCACAAAGTTCCTGAAAACCCTTGCACTCTTCTGGGTGGTATGAGTGTCTTTCGTTCTGATGAGGCAACTCTGTATGGGTTCCGGATGTGAGCTGGTAACTGGAAAAAATTCTTGGAAGCTTAGAATTTTCAGCCCACCCCCATTCTCCTAAGAATGGAAAAGGGCTGAAAATGGAGTTAATGATCAATAATTGTGTGAAGAAACCTCTATAAAATCCCAATGCAGGGGACTCGGAGAGCTCCAGGTTGACAAACATATCCACACTGGGGTGGTGACACACCCCAACTCCAGGGGGACAGGAACTCATGCACTTGGAACCCTCCCAGACTTCACCCTATGAATCTCTTCATCTGGCTGTTCATCTGTATCCTTTATCATATCCTATATTAAACGTATAAAGGTAAATAAGTGTTTTCTTGAGCTGTGTGAAGAGGGGAGCCCATACAGAATGGGACAGAATTCTAGGATATTTGCATATAGCTGAGAATTCTAACTGCTTTCACACAGCATAACGTCAGAGAGAAAGAAGCTCTGTCTCCACCATCACCACCATCCCCTGCCTTTAGAAATGTAACATTAATACAAAATTAAACTCATGGATTATTTTATTCAAGTGATATGTTTCTGATTTTTTACTTCCATGCCTATTATACTATACCTAATTTTATGTTAACAACCACAAAAAAGTAACTCATATTTCTTTAATGAAAAGTTTTTGAAGTCTGTCTGCTCTCAGATATTGTATTCTTCCCACCTTTTTCTCCCTGTAGTATTGAAAAGTTTCAGATTCATTAAGCTTCAAGAATATTGAGAAATTAATGTGGATTTACAGTGCTTCTTAATGACAGCATTCTTGATTTAAGACAAATCAAGGAAAGAAAATGAGCACTTTGCATAATGTAGATAGATCAGTGGTAAAACTATATTCATAAATCATATGAAGAGATGACTACCTATTGGGGAAAATTTTTAACATCAAATGACAATTTCCCATTTTCCCCTCACATAATTAATAGAGCCTAGATCCTTCTTCAGAGTCCATACTTCTGATTTGGAGTAGAATATAATTTCCCTTTCAATGTTCAATTGCTACTGAGTTGCCCTTGGCATTTTCCAGTGCAACAAAGCTATATATGACCTTTTTAAGAGCTACTCAGCTACCAGGACCCCAAAATGTCAAGTACAACTCAGTTGCTCTCAGAAATCTTCCACTTGCAATTCACTTGTACTTGAAATGGATCACATACAATACAGTTGAAAGGCAAACAGAAAAAAAAAAAGACCTTGTAGAATCTCTTAGGAAAATTAATCCATATCAGAGTGGAATGTCCTCATTAGTGAAGAAATACGGTCAAGTGGATTAAAGTAGGCTTTAAACCAAGTATCTTGGGTCCTATTCTTTGGCTGGGTGACCTTGTTCAAACCATTTAACTTCAGAACTTAGTATGTGTGTTACAGGTGCTCTCAGGTCAGAGAAACATATTTATCATTTTATTTATAAGCCCAGTGTCCCTGTCTTCCCCTGTGATTCTCTCTCTGCCTTTCTCTTTTCCCTGATAGAGTGCTGGTGCAACTCTGCAAAAAAAGCGGTTGTTCAGATCTGTGTGTTTACACTGTTCATTAGAGGTTGTCAAGCCTACTTTTGTAACCCAAGTGTTTTGATGTGCTCTTTCTGTCATTGGAACATCATGGAGACATTGAATACAACCTAAGAAGAACTTTGCTGACCATCTCTTAGTGTTGGCATAATAACAGTGAACTCTTCTAGCTTCATTGTACAGAAATTAAATTTTTTTATATTAGTGAAGGGGGAAGAAGGCAGTAACCAACTGTGGTATAAACTGACATTGCAGGATCTGTATTTCATGTGATAATAAAAGCAAATATTATCAAGCGCTCAGATTTTCATTCAACAGCAAAGTGAATTCTGATATTTTTCTTCTTAACAACATAAGAAGTTTTTAGTGTCTCTGTTAAAGATGCCTTTAATGAGAAGCTTAATGGTCCAAGTAGTAATTCTTAATTGGTGGTAATTTGCCTTCCAGGATACACTTGGCAATATTTAAAGACATTTTCAATTGTCCCAACTGGGACAGTACTATTGGCCTTTAGTTGGTGGAGGCCAGAGTGCCACTAACTATCCTACAATGCACAGGACAGGACCCACTGCACAGAATTATCCAGTCCAAAATGTCAATAGTGCCAAGGCTGAGAGAGCATGGCAAGAGTTGTTTCCATTGTTGAGACAGCCTAAACATTTGAATACTTGAGAGAACAGTCATTTGAAGATGAAATCATAGACATATCAAACAGCTATCTGCACAAATTTTTCTTTTTCCCACTTTAGATTTCCTGAATTCACAATAGTTTTCACCAGCACTTTTAATGTGCTTACCGTTCTTATTCTAAATATGTACTCATTAGAGAATAATAAGGTTCTCCGTGGGTTTGGCCCACTGGGAAGCACCTTCTGTGGGGAGCCAGCAAGCATGATGGAGTGAAAGTCACAAAGACTGTGAAGCCAAATGGACCTGAATTTGAATTATGACTTAGCCACTTAAAAGTTGTGTAACTCTGTACAAGTTACAGAACTTTGTTTTATTTTATTAATATTTTTTGAAAAGGAATAATAATACCTACTTCAGAGAATCTTCATTAACAACTACAACCACACACGTATGGCATGTGGCACAGCACAGGATGCAGGACGGTAGTCACTGTGAGGTAGGGCATGCTGTAGCACAGAGATGAGAAAGGATTGCGATATCCCCCAGGCAGTATGCCTTTTGCTCCTTCCTTTGGGTTTCATATGCAAATCCATCATTTTGCATGACTTTTCCAAATTATTAACTATCAATATTAAACACCACATAGGACAAGTAAGTACAACCCTGCCCTCTCAAAATTTTCCATGTGTATGTAAGTTATTTTCAATCTGCATGTATAGAGTTTCAATCTTTATCATTTGTCTTATTGACAGAACTAGTATTTAACATTTGTTAAAAATAAGCATGATCCAGATCCAGATTCTAGAGGTTTCTTCTCAGTGTAGCAACATATCTTAATACAGAAAAAAGAGAGAGAGAGAGAAATCATTTTTGGTAATAACTAAGTATAAACCAAAAAGTGAACTCATCATAGTACCTAGAGTTTACAGTGATTGTCTAACAACACAAACCATTTCTCTTTGAACATAGGGCAAATTACTAAGGATGTTTCTAGAGTACTATATACACTCATCATTTTCTTACTGACTACAAATGGATGGTCAAAAGGTA